TGTGTTAAAACAACCAACTTTGCTATTTATTACACATTATGATCTCATAAATAGTTATTAAAGTTGATATTTATTATTACCTTTAAAACGTGACTCAAACATACTCTAAAAAATGTTACTTCTTCCAACACCTTTCTATATTTTTCAAAATTATATATGAATAGGAGATCTAGATACAACAATAATGACACAAAATAATTAGACAAAATATATTCAAATTAAAAGTCTCCACTCTTCTTAAAATTAAAATAGTTTTTATTATATATCCTTTTAGCACAAACATCGATAGAAGTGTAACGAGTCAAATTCGAGATGCTCCCGAACAAAATCTAAAACAAATACAAATTACAATACATATGGTACACAGAAAGTTTGAATACACGAAAATTTGCTCATTTCTTCACTCTTGATATTTAGGCTGTACATTGCTTCCATTTAAGCAGTTATTTTTTTGGAAAATTGAAAAAATACATATAGTACGAACAATTTTATGAAAGAATAAATACAAGGAAATTATATTGTAGGGAATATCTACAGACAGGATCCTGGATGTGAGGAAGCTCTTAGGAGTACACGTGGAGACGTGTCACTTAACGAACTTCTCGTTATCGCACGAGGTACACTTCTTTTTCCCTCTGTACTGTAAGCATTTAGAAAATGAAGGATTGGCGTGGGTCCCATTTCGCCCATCACAGTTTTCGTTTAAGTTATTCGTCCTGCACCGTTGGATCGGTTGACTTTTAGCTTTAGTTTCCTTTTGGGAACGGTGAGCATTTAATTTCGGTGTGAGTACTCGTTGGAATCATCGTGATCGTGGAACTTTTGGGTGGGGTCCGCAATCTGACGGGATGGGATTGTTTTGGTGGGAGTGCACGGTTTTTAAATAGTTCTCATGTAGAGGATTAATGATGGATTTTATCGTTGCCGGGTTTGAGAGGTGAAATTTTTTTTACTACTCTACTTCCCACTATTTTCAAAATAGTAACTTATTAAAAATGACGTGAGATCTATTATATTTGTTTAATATTGGACTTTTTCTCGAGTTGAGAGTTGGAAGTTACACATCACGTGATTGTATAGTCGATTGTACTTTGGTTTTTATTTAAATAATTTTTTACTTTTACTTTTAATTTTTGTTTATTTTTCATCTATGTAATTTCAAAATCTTCAATTCAATTTTCATATTTTCAACGTTATGTTTATTTTAGATCTTCAAAAAGTGTATTTTGATCCATATAACTTTAACAATTGTTATTTTGGTGTTGTCTTGAATTTTTATATGCAATGGAAACTATTTAATAAAAAATTATTGCTACATTTTAAGAAATTTTTTGAATGTAACCATGTGTTGAAATTGATATTGAAACAATGAGATAAAAAATAAAATGCATCGAAACAAGACAATCACTTTTTTAAAGTATAAAAAATAAAGTCAACTTTAACATAGTTCAACTAGTTTAAAGTCTATCTCAAAAAAGAAAAAAACTAAAAAATCATAAGTTCGAATTTCCACATCTGTATGTTGTATTAAATAAAAAAGTACAAAAAGATCAAATAGACATTTTGGAAATATAGGAATTAAAATTAACAAAAACTAACAGTAGATGGATGAGAATGAACATTCTAATAATCAAATAAACAAAAAGATAAAAGTACCTAGACTATAATATATTTAAGAATGTCAATATTGTTATATGATAAATTCATTTGACTTGTTTTTTAACCAACCTTTTTAGTGGGTAAGTTGGCATTTAAATGTTATTTCAGAGTTAGTGGGGCTTTTTTTTGGCATGGGTTTTGATTAAGTTGCCAGAAATAAATTTTTATTTTATCGATGCAATCCTACTTTAATTTTCTATTGTAAATATAAGTATAATTCAACTGGTTAAAATATATATTTTCTATCATAAATTAATAGGTTCAAATCTCTACTTTTATATTGGACTAAAAAAAATTCTTTAGTTTTTGGTTATGTGAGGATATAATCTTTTTATATCAAAATTTTTTTACATAATAAAAGTAAAAGAATAAGAATGCCGAAAGGGCATATGCTAAATCAGCAAAACAATTATCAGATGTTACTCCAAAAATAAAAATCATGATCTTACTCAAAAGAAATATATATAGCAAACATGATGAATCTCTGTTGAACTTTTTTTAAATAATATTTTTGCAAATCCTAAAAACAGAGAAATTCAAAATAAAAAATATAAAAATGTTTTCATAGTTCATTTATCATAACATCCGAACCATTATTAACATGCCATGATTTTATGCGTATTAAAAAAAAAAAAACGAATACAACATCCTTTTACCAACCTTTACAACTTGTCTATTCAAATAAGTATATTGGTACTAAAAAGTTAAATTACAATTTGATACGTATATTTTTAAAAGTTTTAATTTAGTCTTTATGGATTGGACTTAACTTTAATTTTGTTTCAATTTGATCGATACGATTTAGTTAAATCTATAAGTTGTCTCAAATTTGTGTTTACCTACTTTGAATTCACCCATTTTCTTTTTTACTAAACCATAAAGTTTAATACAGTTGTTACCTAAATAAAAACTACTGTGTGAAAAAACATGTTATCCATAGAACAATAAATTTGACTAAATCATAAGTATCAAATTCAAACTAAATCGAAATTAGAAGGACTAGATTAAAAATTCTATCATAAATTAGATTAAAAGCAAATCTATAATTTAACTTTTTTTTTAGGGAAATTTTGCAAGTTAATTTAACTAAAATGAAAACGAAACAGGGTTCCCGCGCAAAAGAGGGTAACGAAAATAACGGCAACATTTAATTTTATTTATAATTTTCCAGGTTCGGGGCCCTAAGCTAAAGGATTCGGTGGATATCATCTCTCTAAAACCCTGCCACGTCACAATCGTCCAAGGTAACCTGACCGCACACATTAAAAAGAAAAAAACCGAAGCGAATCCAACGGACCCATCGGGTCCTTTATCGTACATCATGCCGCACCCTATAAAATCTCCTCTCGAGTTCTAATTTTCCGGTTTTCGGTATTTTGGCAGAGGACTACACAGAAGAACTCGCCGTCGCGCACATCCGGCGACTGCTCGACATCGTCGCTTGCACCACCTCCTTCGGCGCATCTTCCAATTCTCCCAAGTCGTCGGGTCGAACCAGTTGCAAGGATTCCGGTTCTAAAGATATTGCCTCGAAAGAATCTGGTTTGACCGATTATGAGGCTGCCCTACCCAGTCCGGAAAGCGGCGGCGAGCAGAGTTCGAAACCTAAACCGGCCGGAACCGGAGATAAGAAAGCGATTACAGGCTCCGGAGGTGGGACTCAGAGTGCCAGACATGGGGCTAAGAGTGTCAGAAACCCCGATGGTTCGTTCGATTGTTCGGAGAAACCTGACGGCTCCGTTTCAATGTGCCCGCCGCCGAGGCTTGGCCAGTTCTACGAGTTCTTCTCCTTCTCCCATCTGACGCCGCCACTTCAATGTGAGTTGTCTAGGTTTCCGTCAATATGAGATGATCATAATTTGGGTTTTTAGGAAACTGGAGCTACCACAAAATATAAACACATTTTGCTCATGCTTCCTGAAATTAGTGTCGCGCGCGCGGGTATGTTTGGAAAACTTGTATTTGGATTATAATCTTAGTTACATTTTGCGGTTGAATAGATGAAACTCGTTATTTCAAAGACGCTGAAATTGGGGGTTCTGCACTGTTTTCTTAGCGAAAATTTTTCCCCCCTTCATTGCAGACATTCGGAGATCAAGTCGTCCATTCCTTGTGGATAAAGCAGAAGATGACTTCTTTCAGATTGATGTGAGGGTCATCATTCTGTTATCATTTTCCCCCTCGTAGAAATGTTTTTATTCACTAAACTGCTCGGGCATGAGAACTGCTTACTGATATACTGTGAATAATTGTATCTGAAGGTTCGTGTTTGCAATGGAAAACCAACAACAATTGTTGCTTCAAGAAAGGGGTTTTACCCTGCTGGGAAACATCTTCTTAATCATTCCTTGGTGTGTCTGTTGCAGCAGATAAGCAGGGCATTCGATGCTGTAAGTTTTAATTAGTAATTTTTATCTCAATAAACTGCAGACATGCTTGATTTTATTTATTAATATTAATATTAATATTATTATTATTATTTTTTGCAGGCATATGGAGCTCTTATGAAAGCTTTCACAGATCACAACAAAGTAAGTATATTTGTCATACAGTGTTAGGATCATGGAGAAGATGATGCCATATTGACAACGTTTCATTTCAGTTTGGAAACCTACCCTATGGTTTTAGGGCAAATACTTGGGTGGTTCCTCCTGTTGTTGCTGAAAATCCATCTTTCCCTCAACTTCCTGTAGAAGACGAGAACTGGGGAGGAAATGGAGGAGGGCAAGGAAGAGATGGCGAGCATGACCTCAGGGAGTGGGCAAAAGAGTTTGCAATACTAGTTGCAATGCCTTGCAAAACTCCAGAGGAGAGGCAAATTCGTGATAGAAAAGCATTTCTGCTTCACAGTTTATTTGTCGACGTGTCTGGTTTCAAAGCTGTTGAAGTGATCAAGCGCCTTGTCGAGACTAATAAATTTCCTGTGAATGATCCAAATGGTTTGGCATTCCACGAGGAAATTGTTGGAGATATAAGTATTAAGGTAACGAGAGATGTGCGAGATGCAAGTGTAAAATTGGATCGTAAAAATGACGGGAGCTTGGTTCTTGGAGTCTCAATGGATGATCTTTCTCGGAGAAATTTACTTAAAGGCATAACTGCTGATGAGAGTGCTACTGTTCATGTATGCAATATACCTACTGGGAATATTTGTAATGATATGTTATTTCAATTTCAAGTTGTCTTTATTGCTATAGGTATCTGTTGGTGCAGGACACTTCCACATTAGGCGTTGTGGTCATTAGACATTGTGGCTACACAGCCATTGTGAAAGTTGCAAAAGAGGTGAATTGGGGAGAAAATCCAATTCCTCGAGACATTTACATTGGGGATCAACCTGAAGGAGGAGCCAATGCTCTGAATGTTAATAGGTATTTTTCGGTTTTTTTTTTTTTTAAATCTTCAGATTATTGACTAGGAACCAATATTCTAGGATGAAAATTGAGTGTAAGCCAATCATCTTGGAGAAATTTTTATTACTTGTTAACAGGTTTTTTTAAACCTATTAATATTTGGATCATTTGAAATTTCAATTCAGCTTGAGAATGTTGCTGCACAAGTCATTCACGCCTCAGGCATTAAATGCTTCTAATCGATCACATAGCACAGATGTTGATAACTTACAATATTCAAGGACAGTAGTGAGGGAAGTAATGGAGGAAAGTTTGTTAAGGTTGCAGGAAGAACCTGCCAAAAAATCTAGGTCCATTAGGTGGGAGCTAGGTGCATGTTGGGTTCAACACTTGCAAAATCAGGCTTCAGGAAAAATTGAGTCTAAAAAACCCGAAGAAACTAAGTTAGAGCCAGTTGTAAAGGGTCTTGGGAAACAAGGTGCACTTCTTAAGGAGATCAAGAAAAAAACAGACAGTGGAACTAGTAAAGTAGAACCTGGTAAGGAAGTTGATCCCACTAATCAGAAGGCACTGGAGAAACAGGATGAGGATAAGGAACAGATGTGGAAAACGTTGCTTCCTGAATCTGCCTATTTGCGACTGAAGGAATCAGAAACTGGTCTCCACAAAAAGGTTTGATCATTCTAAGTTTACTAATTCGAAGATATTTGATACTGTTAACACTTTTTGCTCCTTGGATGAAGCTTTAGAATATTGTTCTTCCTGTTGTTATGCTTTAGCTTTTGGCTTAATATTGGGTATTGGTCTCTCCTGGCAGTCACCGGAGGAGTTGATTGATATGGCTCATAAGTACTATGCTGATACTGCACTTCCGAAACTGGTTAGAATGTCAATAATTATATTTTGTTGGTGCTTCTTGTATTGTGCTCAAGATGACTAATTCTTACAATCCCAAATTAAATAGGTTGCAGATTTTGGGTCCCTTGAACTCTCACCTGTTGATGGAAGAACATTGACAGATTTCATGCACACCCGGGGTTTGCAAATGTGTTCTTTAGGACGTGTGGTAATAGCCTCATTCTGTTTGATGACATCTTTCTTGCTGTTTTAGAGTTTTATTTTTTATGAGGATGAGTGTTCTAGTGCAAATCATATCTCTATGTTCTCCAAAGAACATCAAGACCAAAACAAAGTGTCATAATAAGAAAAAATATATTATTCTTTGCAAATGATTAAATTTAAAATCATATGGATCGCTGGAATGCGGCTTTTTAAGCTCATTTTTCTTGTTTAATTACAGGTTGAACTTGCAGATAAGCTTCCACATGTCCAATCTTTATGTATACATGAAATGATTGTTAGGGCTTATAAACACATATTGCAAGCAGTTATAGCTGCAGTTAATGTTTCCGACTTGGCCGCATCAATAGCATCGTGTCTAAATGTGTTGATGGGAACACCTTCGATCGAAGATGAAGCCGATTGGACCAACGATGTTAATTTGAAATGGAAGTGGGTGGAAACATTCCTTTTCAAGAGATTTGGATGGCAATGGAAATATGACAGCACTCAAGATCCCAGAAAATATGCTATCCTTCGAGGATTATGCCACAAGGTTTGATGACGAGACAAGGCTATTTTCTCTTTGGAAAATTCTTCATATATCTTTTTAACACCGACATTGTGTTCATCAGGTGGGGCTTGAGCTTGTCCCCAGGGATTACAATATGGAAACTGCATCACCTTTCAAAAGATCAGATATTATCAGCATGGTTCCTGTGTACAAGGTTGTGTACATTCAAATTTTCACATTACGAACCGAATGATTTGGATTTTGTGTTGGTTTGACAATATTAAATTCTTTGCTACAGCATGTGGCATGTTCATCTGCAGATGGACGTACGCTGTTGGAATCCTCCAAAACTTCCTTGGACAAAGGGAAGCTGGAGGATGCTGTTAATTATGGCACAAAGGTGAGGAATATCTAACTTTGACCTTTGTAGTTTTACATCTTTATTCCCTTCAGAAAATTTAAGTTAATAAATTAAATTGACTTGACGGAACTTATTGAATTTTGAAGGCACTCTCAAAACTTGTATCTGTCTGTGGTCCATATCATCGAATGACTGCTGGAGCTTATAGTCTTCTGGCTGTTGTACTGTATCATACAGGGGATTTTAATCAGGTACTCTATAATACTGGGGATCTCATACACATATTAAAAGACTTAAGTACTGAGCAGTATATCTTTTTTTAGGCAACAATATATCAACAAAAAGCATTGGATATTAATGAGAGAGAATTGGGACTTGACCACCCTGATACAATGAAAAGTTATGGAGATCTGGCTGTTTTCTACTATCGACTTCAGCACACAGAACTGGCCTTGAAGTATGTTTCCACTGGCTGTATATTGATTGAATGATGTTGGATCGACTTAATCTTTGTTAATTTGACGTGGAAATGTGAAAAAATGTCTTTGGATTACAGGTATGTTAACCGAGCTCTGTACCTTTTGCACTTGACATGTGGACCTTCTCATCCAAACACAGCAGCTACTTACATCAACGTAGCAATGATGGAAGAAGGTTTGGGAAATGTGCATGTTGCTTTAAGGTATCTGCATGAGGCTTTAAAGTGCAACCAAAGACTTCTTGGGGCTGATCATATACAGGCAAATCTCTCTCTCTAGCAAATATTTCTGCATTTGTGTTCGTTCATATTTAGTAATCATTTTGTTTCTACAGACGGCGGCAAGCTACCATGCCATAGCGATTGCTCTTTCTTTAATGGAAGCATACTCGCTAAGTGTTCAGCATGAGCAAACTACTCTGCAGATACTGCAGGCCAAACTTGGATCTGAGGATTTACGTACTCAGGTTAGATGTGAAATCTAAAGACCAGCCTTATTTGCTACCTTTAAGCCATAAACTTAGAGAAATTTTGAGTAGCGCAGGATGCAGCTGCATGGCTCGAGTACTTTGAATCGAAAGCCTTGGAGCAGCAGGAAGCTGCTCGGAATGGCACCCCTAAGCCAGATGCTTCCATCTCCAGTAAAGGTCATTTAAGGTATTCCTCCAACAGAATTGATTCATTTAAAAAAAAAAAAAAATGGAAGAACAGAATTGATTCTTACCTGCATCTTTTTGTAAAATTGCTTGTTCAATCTACGAATTTTCAAAAGACAAGAATGATCTAGACCATCTATCTATATGCACCCATGCATAAATAAATAAGGTCTAAAGCATCCATTAAACAAACATTTTTAAAACACGTAATCGTCCATTCAAAAATAATTTTAATATCATTCACATTTTGATGAAAAGGTATTAAATAGACGATTTTAGCATTATTAATAAAAACTATGAACTTTTCAAAATATTTTACAAATCCTAGAGTTTTTCTATTGTACTAGTTTTACTTATAAGAGGTGTGTGATTGTATTGATTTGTTTCCAAATAATTTGATTTCCTAAATAGACCTTCTCACACGTTTTTACTCAAAAAAAATTGTAATAAGTGTTTCTCTTCTTTGGTTAGTGTTTCAGACCTATTGGATTATATAGCCCCCGATGCAGATTTAAAAGCCAGAGATGCTCAGAGGAAAGCTCGTGCAAAGGTTCAAATCATCTCATTTCTTGTCTCTTCATAATTTCAACTCCTTTTCTTTTTGTTGAAACACTATTTGGCTTTCTTTCCTGAACAGATCAAAGGAAAATCCGACCAGTACCCAGAAACAGGCGCTGAAGAATTTCAGAAGGATGAAGATTTATCTCCAAACCTTTCTGTTGTTGAGAGTCCAAGTGATAAAGAAAACAAATCTGAAGAAGCCCAATTGGAGGAACATGCAATTGAAAAATCTGATGCTGTTCTATTTGATGTTACGAAGCTTAATAAAAATGTTGACCAGGTGCAAGACGATGCCTCAGATGGTGGCTGGCAAGAGGCTGTTCCTAAAGGCCGTTCTATTTCAGGTCGCAAGTCTTCAAGTTCAAAGAGACCAAGCTTGGCAAAACTGAATACCAATTTCATAAATGCATCTCAATCATCGAGATATAGAGCAAAACCAAATAGCTTTGTGTCCCCCAGAACCAGCCCAAGTGAATCTACAGCTTCAGTTTCCTCATCTGTTCCTGTTTCACAAAAACTTACGAAAAGTGGAAGCTTCAGTTCTAAGCCTAATAATAGCCTTTTCAGTCCAGGAAGTACGGAAAAACTATCTGCCCCCAAATCAGCTCCATGTTCTCCTGGCTTAATTGATCGTCAAGTTACAAAATCTACATCTTTGGCTGGTAAAGGCAGTGTTCAGGTAGCTGGGAAGCTTTTCTCCTACAAAGAAGTTGCCTTGGCTCCACCTGGAACTATTGTAAAGGCAGCAACAGAACAGCTGGCAAAAGTGCCTACTCACGTTGGAGTTACTTCACAAGAAAGCCGGGAGAAAGCTGCAACTGAGCTCTCTCTTGATGAAGTAACGACAGTAAAAGATGCAGAGGATGGGAAAGTTGAGAGACTTGGTACAGAACAAGATGGTGAAGGCCTTGTGAATAAGATTACAGAAACAGACAAACAGGAATCTTCATCTGCACCACTCCATGAGGCTGTAAAGTGTTCTTCTGTTGAAGATAAAATGGTGGGGGCTGATGAATTGCAGATTGCTGACAAGCCTAGTAAAGAAATAGAAGTTGATGCTGCTGGAAATCCTTCTCCATTGGCAGTTGAAAGTTCTGAGGCTTCTGTACAAATAGAAGCAAGTATTTCCCCTAACAGAGACTTGTCTGTTTCCCCAGGAAGTGATTATACTTCAGGCGAAGAAAACACATCCATTTCAAAAGAAAATCCAACTCAAAATGATTTACCAGTTGATAGTGTTGATGTTAAGCCAATTCCAACTGAAGTAGAAAAGCAAGATGAAGGGGAAGCTGGGAAGGAGACAACTAAGAAACTTTCTGCTACTGCACCTCCCTTCAATCCATCGACAATTCCCGTCTTTGGCTCAGTTTCAGGCCCAGGATTTAAAGATCATGGGGGTATTTTGCCTCCACCTATAAATATTCCTCCAATGCTTACTGTTAATCCAGTTCGCAGATCACCACATCAGTCAGCAACAGCCAGGGTCCCATATGGTCCACGGCTATCCGGTGGCTACAATAGATCTGGTAATCGGATTCCACGTAATAAACAAACTTCCCATAATATTGATCATGGTGCGGATGGGAATCTCTTCAACGCTCCTAGAATTATGAATCCCCATGCAGCCGAGTTTGTACCTGGCCAGCCTTGGGTTCCAAATGGCTATCCAGTATCTCCAAATGCGTATTTGGCTTCTCCAAATGGTTTTCCATTTCCCCCTAGCGGTATCCTGCTGTCTCCAAATGGATATCCTGCACCGGTTAATGGTATTCCAGTGACTCAAAATGAGTTTCCAGAATCTCCAGTAAGTCCAGAAGATGTTTCACCGCCAGGTTTAGATGTTCATTCTGTGGTTAGAAATGAAACTGAAGATGCAACAAGTCATGATACAACTGATCCAGCTACTGATATTGATTGTGAGAATCAACAACAAATGGAACAAAAGCCTCATGAACAACCTGTAGACATTGATCACTCCCACTCGGACATTCAAGAAAAGCTCCTCGACACTGCTCCAGTGGCTGCAAGTGATGCTGTTGTAACGAAGGAAATTTCTCATGACATGGTTGTGGAGAAAAAATCCAGTAAGCGCTGGGGAGATTACAGTGACAATGAAGCTGAGATAGTTGAGGTTACTAGTTGAAGGAGTATCACAAATTTTGTATTACCTTGAAGATAATTTTCACGGTACAGAGCTCAATGAGACGGCAATATTATTTAACAAACTCTTGTTGAGTCGAAATGGATCGAGAATGTTGCTGAGTGGTAGTTTCATTTGCTGAGTACAAGCAGTTGCAATCGAGGCTTTGTGAATATACTTGCAGTTAGGTACGTAGCAGAGGTCTTCCTATTAATTAGCATTGCGTCAATTGCTTGATATGTTAATTAAATATACCACGAGCAAGGAACGATATCGTCAGCTTTCTTGTTTGTCAGTTCCTTGTATGTAGATTCTTCACCTCGACTCCAGCCATAATGTAAACGAAGAATGGAAACGATGTTCGGATGATTTATACTTCCCAGATCTTTCTTGGATTGATAACTACATGGAAACCAGCCTGCTATAATGAATATTAATCTTCTTACAGGTTTTTATTTGGGCAAGGGCAATATGAAATTTTGCTCGTTCGACCAGAAGAAAAAACTACTCTAGCTAGTGGGATATCGACCTTCTAACAGGCCAATTCTTCATTGAAGTGGCTTTAAGAAATCTGGTCTTATGTATTCTTTTTTAAAGACTTGCAATTGTTAAGCCTTCGATCTCTTCCACTCCATAGACGCAAGTTTGTCAAATAAGCTTTGAGTAATTTTGCAACTTACTGAGAAGCAAATTTGGAAGATGATATGAACTAATTACTTTGAGGTATTTTGTACAAGTGATTTGTATTCCTATTGATTGAGATTTTGGATCCTACATTTGGACTTCTTTTCAAGCAAAATGCTATGGGACATTTGGACTTCCTGCACTTCTCAAGATGAAGAACTACACTACAACTGTTACAGTTTACAGTATGCTGAAACATATTTGGAGATGGACAACAAATATGTCCCAGAAACCCGCTCCCAATCTACTTGGAAGTTCTGCCATTCTGGACTGGCTAAGAGGTGCAGGTAGGTGAATTCCGTCGAAAATCAATAATAAACAATGTTGCTGCACTGTGTGCCAGTGCTGCCAGAACAACAAATACGTGAAAGATCTGGTGGCTGTGCCCTGCGATGTCGAATGCACCGGGTTTCCATCGTTCTGGTATCCGACTAACATAGAATCCAGCTCCTGCAGCATATAGAACAGCCATGGCAAACTCATACCAAAAGGCAAAATAAATATCCGGATGTCCCCAGTAAAGAAGAATAGCATGTGCAGCGGGAATTATTCCCGAGAAGCCCATGGAGAGAAATAAGGAAGCTCTGAAGAAACGGAAGCGAGGGGCCGAAAGAGCAGGCGCAAGAAGAGTAACGATGGCAGCAACACCGAGCACTGATATCGAAGAAAGATAGAACAACCGAGGATAATAGTTGCAGAGGAAGACATAATAAATGGGAGCAAAGAAGGAGCCGACTATCATCAAAGAAATGCCTGCATAATCTAGGCGCCAGAAGAAAAGATTGAAGCGTTTGGAATGGCAAGCGAGGAGGTGGGAGAGGCTGCTACAGACCAAGCAACCCATGGCACCAGCCAAGAAAACGAACCATGGCCATTTTGGTAAGTCTGTTGCTTTATCCGCTCTATCTACTAAGAAAACCGATGACTGTGAGACATGTTTTGTTTCCTGCAAACAAATAACGAACGAACGAACTCGTTAAACTTTCTAATCATCTGCTTGGATTCTCTCTTCAGAATCCCCACGACGAGAAGTACATTATCACTGAACCACTATTTCACTCGTCGTGGATCATTAGCATCACGAACATGATTAAACGACACTTTTTTAAACGAGAATAACGAAATATTCTCGTTTGGCTGTGAGAATCTGATTCTCAGTTTAAAAAAGGAATCAATAATCAAGCCAACCCCAGACAAGAAAATGAAAATATACAATTAAATTTTCCACTTGCTATCATGCCAAGACGTGTAGACTTCTTCTTTAGGTGAGTGGCCATTGAATTAATTCTCCTTTCTTTTGACTCTCCCAATTGACATAAAAAATTATCAACATACAGTTCACATTGAGTTTGCACGGCTCCACCAATATTTCTTCAGCATATGTATATGAATATCAATTAGAATAAAGTATTCCCAAAATCACAATAACTTGGCCACAGAGATGCTTCATTAACTCTCTTCCACTCTATTCAATTCAATGATATCGTCTCTCCTTTCTTTTCTCAAGTTTTTTTTTTCTTTTTCCTTTATTTCTGCACTTCATTATTATGATAGCTCTATATAATTGCACACACCATCCAAAGGAAGAAATAAATAATTGTGGAGGATAATGGAATTGATGGTCACAAACCGTCCATTCCACATCCAAGCCAGACGTCTCCCAAACCGACAAGAAAAGAGGGGAAGAAAAAGTATGACAAAACAGAACAATAATGTAAAAGGCAAAAATGAGCTTACAGGAATAAAGCTATCAGAGCCATTGACGTCCCTTTCCATACCCATAATCGTCCAAAACGGCACCGTAACTGAAGCTCTGGCCCATAAACAAACAAAAACAAAAGAAATCAACCGACTGCTGAGCTAAGAATCGCTCATCCTTGTGATCAATATTAAATTGATTCAGATCCCTAAATTTACTGATAATCAAGGTGAAAGAACTTCGAATACCTGGAGAAATTGGCGATCAGAAAAGCTCCGAGCTCCGTCTTCTCCATCAGCGTCATCGCGATCATTGCCCCAAATATAAAAAACCCTACCAAATGGCTGCTCAAAATCAGATGCTCAACAATCAGCACACACAAATAGGCGAAGATGAAGGAATAAATACCTACAAAAGAGAGTGAGAATGAGGGCATTTACGTCCAGATGTTCAGAGTCTCGTTGTGCCATGAAAATAGACTGTACAGCACCTCTTTCACCGGCCATTCACACCGGTAATAGTCCAATATATACTCGTTGTCTTTAAGATAATCCGGCAAGTCTTTGAACTTCACCAATCGCCTCTGAAACGACTTCGTTTCACTCTTCCTCTTCGTCCTCTTCTGCCGATCATCGCATTTCATGCGATTGCTGCCCATGATTCCCGTCCGCTCGATCTAGCTTACAATTTTCTTAAATTTCCGGCAAGTTTTCGCCGGATCTGCGTCCTCCGGCAGTCGCTGAGCCTGTGACGGGAAGGCCTGTTCTCGTGAAATCTCCGCGGTAGCAACTCTGTATTTATAAGCCATAACGACTTCGTTTAACCAAAACCAACTAATTTCTTTTTCCCTTTTTTATTTTTTATTTTTCTTATTTCTCCCTTTTTTTCTGAAAATGTGTAAATGTGTCAGAACGCGTATGCTGTGTGTACACGATACTATTTTTAGAAAAAAAAGACGAATTTCAAAGTTTGACGACGTGGCAGTTAAAGGTTGGTTGAACGATTTAATTTGAAAAAAATTGGGGAGAAATATTCTGACTTTTGGCGTTTATTTAGGTGAGAGTAGATAGAACTGACCGCTTCTGATCAGCGCTCCTTTTGCCTTGGGAAATATTATTTTTTTGTGAAATAACAAAATTGAAGATTCTGTTCGTCTTAAAATGACACGAGCTTAACCAAGTGTTCATCATGCAATTTACAAGAGAAACGAAAAGACTCTTTTTCTTTTTATTTCTTTTGGAATTGGAATTTATAATATTCTTAGAAAGTGTTGTGGACATGCAACTGTTTTGTTCCTATATTTGATCATTTAATTCCAAGGAAAATGATTATTGTGTATATTTTATATAAATTAATTTGAGAAAAGGGGGCGGTACTTCATGGATTTATTTGAGGGTTAAAAAAACCTACTTTTAACATACTTTTTATTTCTTTATGCATCGTGGTTAATCGACCGTCCAAAACGTTCTTCACCTATAAATATCATAGGTAACTTCGTCTTTAAGTATCAAGGATTCCACATTGATAAGATAAGTGACCTAACAAAGATTTATAATATAAGTGAGTTCCTCCTTTCATTGTCAATTGGTTTTGAGATGGAACTCCATGAACATTAATATAATATCAGAGCCCAAGAAGTTCGAAGAAGCATTCGGTCTAAGAATTGGATTTGGCAAAGATCAATGAGTCAAAAGAGCTACCATTTATTTTGAGATGGAATACCATGAATATTAATATCAGGTACGTGCGAATTAAATCTGATGATACATTTGATAAACAAATACTTCGGATCTCTATTAAAAGCGTCGGAGTACTCATCCTGGTCTTGCAAGTTCCTTTTTAGTTCATCTTCTCATAATTTTAATTGGGAGTGAATCAACTGGAACATAGTATGATAGTAAAAAAGAATTCTACCACTAAAAGTTATGTTGTAATCGAATATAGCGACCAATTAAGCTGTAAAGTTTTAGAAAATTTTTGTATGAATTTTTGGTATTTGTCAATTTGGTTTGGCCAACTTTTATCTAAATATTAACCAAAAAAAATATATGGATGTGGTTTTGAACTTTTGAGATATTTGTTACTGTGAATTATGATATTTCAAAGATAGTGGTAAAATTAACTATTGGTATTAACAACCTCAATGACAATATTATAAAATAATGAAGGTTCATGTATGTGCATTTGTCTGGTACGATAGTGCAATGACATAAACATTGTAGTATTACTTGCCATGAGGTCTTGTGTTTGAATCCTGCACTAATATTGTTCAGTCCATGCAATGAGCCTTAATTATAGAAATTCACTAGCTTAAGCCACACGGCATCGATTTTGAAAAATTAAAAAGAAATGTATGTTGTATTTAAAACCCCAAAAAAAAAGAATAATATAATTTCTACTCGTCTCATCGTTTGGCTGTATTTTTGGTCCAGCATGTCTTTTCACCTTTTTTTTTATTTCTTTTAGTACGACAGGAATTCGAACTTACAGTCTTTTGATCAAAGATATGTATTAGTTAAGCTCGACGAAGATTGACAAAAAAAAATAAAAATAAAATTTCTTTTTCTTTCTGGTTCTGTGACACTTTTCTTTAGTTCTGAATAATTATTCAATATGAATATTCTATCCATCGTTTTTCAGAGTGAACTTCTACTGATGATAAATAAGTCCTGCTGTATCCTCTTGGAAATTCAGACCTTTTTTCTTCTTTTTCTCCCTTTTGTACTTCTCCCAAACTTTTAATTAGCCTTAATTAATTAATTAGTGCTATGAGTAGAAAGAATGGCACTCTATTAAAAGCTAACACTAAGGTGACTGCGGGATGCTTTGAAGATAGCATTTTCTATGCTAAGTAGTAAGTATATGGGTCTATGTACCTACCCTAAAAAATATACTAATTTAATTTTATGGTTTTGAATCAGGTTAATTATCAAGTGTTACTTCATTATTTTAAATAAATTGAAAAAATTATACTTCTATAAATTTGAGTACACGTGTCTCCAGATTAATTAAATTAGAAAATCAAACAATGCTACATGCCTTGGATTAGATGTGCATGGTGTGTTCATATCTTTTATTACTTGGATTAGATGAGCCTCCCTAAATCTCTTGATCAAATATATACGTCTTAATCAGCTAAGCTATGTTTAAGTTGATGTTGATTTCTCCTTCTTAAAACAACATTGTAATGGCGATGAATTTGAATTTTTATATAAAAGTCAATAATGTTGTAACTAGTTAGTTAAAATTCTATTCGTACTCACGAGTAATTTTATATAATTATTATTTTTAGTTAAATAGGTTCAACGGGTAGGTTCGACTCCGGTCTCATCGGACACCCAATGAAAGGCTGAAAATGGGACCGGGCGTAGTACGTTCTTTCCCTAAGACTTGCTTGCTCCGTATGGAGTGCCCCGTGGTTCGAGGTTGACTTGTATTCATTATATGTAAGGATAATAATCAAGCATGGGTGGTACCCTTTGGTATGTTTAGGTTTCTTAAGGATTAATAAACTACTAATTACTTGAGGGCTTGGAAATTTTGCACAAGACTCGACAAGTCGAACACAATACCTCATACAATACCATGTTAAAGATGAATAAGTTAAATTTATATATTAATATCTCAACAAAATTCCTGTACAAATTTATCGCTTGTTCAATTTGATCAAAAATGTAGTATACAGGTTCTCACTTTTTTCCCGTATATGTACACACTTTTATAATATTTTTTTTTAATTTTGACTATCATCTTTGAAGTGTTGAGTTTGTAAGGAGAATGTAAACAATGTCTCATCTTGGTTAAAGAAGAGCATGATCCATGTCTATACATGAGGACAATCATGTCTGTTGATATGCCATCTTTTAGGCCCAAACGCAACAAAACCCGCACCAAACTTGATGTGCGTACTCCATATTTGTATTAAATTATGTTTTTCTTTTCTTAATCCAACATTGATAAGGGTGGTTATTTTAATCATGTTGATACATATTTTATCCGCTACAACTAACTATGTATCGTGAAAACTTAAAAAATTGTACATAAAATTTGTTTATGCAAGGATATGCACAACAGTGTATTTTAGATTGCAGCTCGAACTCGGCCTCCGGACCGATCTGAATACTTGGGCGGACCTGCACAAAAAGGTGAGCACTCCGACGATCAAGTCAGTATAGGTCGGATTCCCAGTTTAGTTCGAGGTCTGAAATCATCGTACTTGATCGTGGAGTGAGGTCCTCTACTTATGGGTGGTAGTCCCGCTAATCTCGCGACGGTTACACCCGGTAATCTCGRGACCGTCGGTTACACCCGATAATCTCGGRWCSRMSGKTWACACCCGATAATCACGCCGCTGACAGTAGCTCACATCGGCCCCTACCGAGCTTCCCGGTAGGTCGGACCTCGGCCAGGTTCACCTCGGCCCTCATACTTAGCATATGTCAACGCTAGTGGTGGTGATCTCGGCGGTCCGAGCTGGGCATGACTCATGAG